GCCATGTCAAGGTTATTTTTTATATTATTTTCACAATAATTTTCAAAATAATGTGTTTTATTCTGAGGTTTTTGTCACTCTTTGGGCACTTTGATCTATTATTCTTGCTGTATAATATAATAATAATAGTAATAATAATAATATACTGCTATATAATAATAATAATAATAATAATAATAATAATAACATTATTATTATGTATATATTGTATAATATAATAATAATAATATTACTATTATTATTATGTATATATTCTATAATATAATAATATATCTTGTATTATATATATAATACAAGATATGATTACTATTATTATTATTATTATATATATATTGGTCTCTTTTGTATCTCCTATTAATATGTGGGAAATTTCGGTATATTATGTGTATATAAATGAAGCAAATCTTTCTTACTCTTAATCTCACTATTGAATTCTTTAAATGGAATTATTTCCGAGGACTTTTGCGCATTCATAAGTGCTGCTTTTTTGGCGAATTTTCTTCACCTGCAATTTGCCACAACACAGTAACCGACTCCAGTACTCTACCCTACACCAAAGCCGGCTACTTTCCGGACGGACCTCGCAGTCGATCCAAGTAGAACGTACGATCGATTGTCAGACGAAACGCGATCGTCTAAATTCCATCGGCTGCTCGATATTTACCATAGAACCGTTCCCCGCGCATTTCCACGTTCCCAGACAAGTTTCACGGACGCGTGATTACAACTTCCCGACGAAATTTCGTTCCGGCGCGGCACACAGCGATCACGGGCACCGGATTTATAAATTCGTGCGAATACTTCGCGGAGTTCGATGCGGTTTAATTCGCGAAATATTAGCGTAAAAATTTAGCGGAACAAAGCGCGACGGAGAGCTCGTTCCTCGGCTTTACCCGGCGTCTCCGGCGAGCGGAACGGACCGGATGGAAATGCGGAGAACCCGTTCGTCGCGAGCGCGTCCTGGAAGACGCGAGTTATGGAGCCCCGTTTCGCAGCGTCTGCCGCGGTCGCCGAAACGCGCACCCTATCGCGGCGCTTAATTAATTAATTCCGATTGCGATTAGTCGCTTCGATTGAGAGAATGCGCGACCCACGCGGCGATAATTACGCGCCGACCGCGGCTGCGGGTCGCGCGGGAACCCGATTGTTCCGGGAGACGGAAGAACCCCGTGACATCCGGGAACGGATAAAAAATTATTCAGAGGCGTGCGCGGAGCGAAGGGAAGGGATGGGGGGACAAAAGAGAGGAGAGGGAGCAACAAAAATGTCGGAGAGACGAGTGTTTTCGAGAGCGAGTCGGATGCCGGTGTTTTCTTGCCGGTCTAAATAAAATATGTCCGCGCTCCTCTAAATATTCAAAGGACACTATTCGACCTGTCCCGGGGCCTGCCCGGTTCCTCGGCACGCACACGGCCGTGCCAAGTGACACGAACGAATGGAACGCATAAAAGGGAAAAATGACCAGGAGCGGCGGGACGCGCGCGCGGAGCTTCCCGGTATTTCCCTCGGGTTTTCCTAACGGCGCATCTGCCTGGCTGGCGCTCCCCTGCCACCCTCGCGTCCTCCGCTTTCCACCCATCGTCGGATTCTACGAAACGAGCCACCCGCCGCGCAAGGCTGCAATTCGTGGAATGAAATTTAAACAATGCTCCCCGGCGCCGATAATCCGTATCTCGATCGCGGTCGAATCGAACCCGCGCGCAACTCTTCCTTGTTTGCGCCCTCGCGGCCCGCAACAATTGCCACGGAAATTGTCTCATTTAACGCTAGATTTACGGTGCGCCGGAAGCAGCTGCTTTTTTAGAAATGCTAGTTTATAAAAGCAGCGACGAGACATTTATTCGGATCTTTAACGAGCGTTGAAGAGCGTTATTGCAACGTTTGCCGCGAGTAACGCATACGTTCAATGAATAATTCAGAAATGTATCTACGAGATTCGAATGATCGTGCTTTAAAAAACAGTGACTCGTCATTTCGACGGAAACGTCTAGTGTTAATCAGCGCAACTTTTGGATGTTGACGCGTTAAGTGCCGAGTAACAAACATTCGCTTGACATCAAAGTCATTTAATTAATGTAATCGAAACTAGGTATCAATTTACCTTAAATATTTAGTTTAACCCTTAAATGCATGACTTTTTGTTTTCAATTTCTACTTATCAAACTTCATTTAAAAAATGAGTGTGTATTAAGGGAAAAAAGCGAAGAAAAAAATTATATCTTTAGGAAAATAGTTTTTTATTACAAAATTATCGTATATAGCCAATCGGCTACAAAACAAAATATTCTTCTGTATGTTGCCAAATGGCAACACGGTGCATTTAAGGGTTAACGTGTTTGTATTGTAGAGATTCTAGGGAAATTCTAATTGTTTGATATATTACGATAGAAATGAATTTGGAAAATTTGTTAGAAATTAGTTGAAGAGTATAGACTGATCTAAATTTTATGAGATCAATCGTGGCTTTTGCAATAATCTTTTCGTTGAAACTGAGAAGTCGAGGTTTGTCGTAGTTGTTATTGGACCATGGACGTTTGCACATTGAAATTAATGTGGAATATAATTACAGAAAGTCGCACAATTTTCGAAAAGATTGCGACAGCTAATTACATAATTACTATTAATGTAGTAAATAAATAGTACACATAAATAATTATAACTTAATAATTATAAACTAATAATTATAACATAATATATATAGTAGTATATATAGTAACTATATAAGTAGTATAGTAAGTATAGTATATATACAGTATAGTATATATAGTAACTATATAATACTAACCTACTAACTATAATAATAACTATATATACTAACTATATAATTACTATTAATATAGTAAATAAATAGTATAAATAAATATATCATAAATAAGTATATATAGTAAATAAAAAGTGTTGAAATTTAGACCGGTCGACGATTAAAATTTCGACCGGTGGCCACCGAAAACGCGTTTAATCCGTCATCCCGCGAATAACAATAACGGGTCAGCGAGTGAACGATAAATAGAAACGGACTCGAAAGTCGAATCACACGCGGCGCGTCTCGTGTTTTTATCCGAGACGGTGGACGCATCCTTTGTCGCGACGACGTAATTAAGAATGCGAGGTACGTCGGTGGACGAGGCTCGGGCACGCGCTCCGAATGACAACGGTTGCATAAAAAAGTTTCGCTCACATTCGACGTTGACGATGATCCTCTTGCTGACTGTCGGCGGCACGCCGTTTTTCGCGATGCAGAGGTACGCGCCCATCTCGTTGCGCGTGATCTTCGTCATGTTTAATTGCTCGCCATCATACATGGACACTGAAACCAAAAGCAGAAATTGATTCGGTCTGGTCGACCGTGCAAATACAACAGGCCGGTGCCGAGGTAACCCGCTCGGCTCCGCTCCGCTCGGAGCGGCGCGGCGCGCCGGAACAAACAAACGCTCGCGTCCGACATAAACGTATAAACAGAATTCTCCGAAGAGGTGGCCGGCCCGCGGATTTTATCGGCAGAACTTTCTCGCTTTAAATGAAATCCCTTTTTTCGCTCCCGGACCGACTGTGGAAACAAAAAAAGGAAGGGGGGGGGAGAGAGAGGAAAATCGCGGGAAAAACCGAGGGAGCGATCGAACCAGCGTCGCGTCGATTTGTCTGTCAAATGCCTCTCGTTTTACTATCGGTTACTATTGGGTTTGCAACTAAGTAATTGCCGATTTGTTCAATGAAATAAAAGATTTTGTTTTACTTGGAACGAAGTTTAATCTGTAATGTATTTTCCATTTTGTCCGATGACCATTTGCCGTCTCTCTGACAACTTGAAAATTCCACGCTCGTAGAAAGTCTGATCCTTTTCGGCCAAAAACTGAGTTAAGTGAGATTTTACAGCGTCATCGTCGTTAATAGTTTTACCACGAAGGGAGTTGTCCAGGGATCGAAATAAGTGGTAATCCGATGGCGAGAGATCAGGGCTATATGGTGGGTGTAACATCAATTCCCAAGCAATATCCATGAATTTTTGCCGAGTGGACAAAGACGTGTGCGGCCTAGCATTGTCCTGCTGGAAAATGACGCCTTTACGATCGACCAATTCTGGTCGCTTTTCCTTGACCGCTGCATTCGATTTGTCCAGTTGCTAACATTCACGGATAATAAAAAATAACATAATAATAATAATAATAATTTTATAAT